CATCTATTTATTTGTCTGCCCATCCATCCATCCATCGGTTCATCCATCCTCCCACCCACCCACCCACTCATCCACCAATCTACCCATTATATGTTAGAAAGTCTCTATTTCAGGGAGCAATAGTCTATCCTCACTCTCTTATAGTCTCACAAAAAATAAGATAAGTCAACCTAATTCCTATCTATCCTTCATGAAGTTGCCCCTAGGTATTCTGGTCCTGCTTCAACCCTTTTGCACTTCACTCTTACAGCAATATTGCTCATACCATAATCAGTGCACAGTGAACCCTCATTTTAGATGGGGGTTGGGTCCTAAAGTCAGTGTAAAAGGACAAAATAGTCAAAATTGCCCTTGTAAATTCCTTAGGAAGATAGTGCCACATGAGACTGAATATTGTCTTTCAATAGGCTCATCACGGCAAGTTTGTCCCTCATTTTGCATGTTGAAACAGATTTCTTGTTTCTTTGATGAAAGTAATAGAGAAGTTAGCTCAGCTTAGAGCCAAGCTGGAGAAAAAAATGTATATGTATCTAAGTCAGGTGCCATGGCTCATGTCTGAAGTCCCAGTACGTAGGGAGATGAGCTGGGAGGATTACTTGAGCCCAGGAGTTTGAGACCAGCCTGTGCAACATTGCAAGATCTTGTCTCTACAAAATATTTAAAAATTAGCCAGATGTGGTGGCATGCACCTGCAGTCCCAGATACTTGGCAGGCTGAGGCAGGAGGATCACCTGAGCCCAGGAGGTAGAGGCTGTGGTGAGATGTGATCATGTTGATGTACTGCAGCTGGGGTGACAGAGTGAGCTCCTGACTCAAAAAATAAATAAATAAATAAATAAATAAATAAATAAATAAATAAATAAAAGGTATCTAGTTGAATACAGCTATCACCTTACACTCATACTCATCCTGAGATGCTCACAGTACTCATACTGTGAAAAGGCATGAAAGCACAAAGACTGAATGAGAGCATGGCAGAGGCACATTGTCCTGTCAAACTGTCACACGGTGCTCTATGCTCCTTGAGTAAATACTGCAAACCATCGCCTGAGCCATCTAGATTATGTTCTCTCCTTCACATAAATGCACATGGGACACAGCTCCACAGACCTGCCTTTTGCTGTCACAGAACTCTCTCAGATAAACAACTAAACTAGGCATTCCTGGAGCACCTGTGAAGTGTGTCTGGCACCACATAGTCTATTCCTTGTTGAACAAGGTCATCTTACCAATTCCTTGGTGTACAAGATCCCCTGCAATGTGGTTCCTATCTATCTCTACAGTCCCATTTGTATACTTTCTACATTCTATTTCTACTTATTTCTAGCATCCACAAATTAGATACAGTACTTCACACCTCCTGCCTCTGTCTACAGTGCCCCTTCCTGTGCTATGCAGTAAACGTTCATCCTCTACTCATTTCAGAAGTTTCTTCTTCAGGGATAGGTTGCTTGAATTAATGTCCCATTATTCATCCTTTCCTGGATCCCTGCCCTTTGCCATGTAAACTTACAGTGTCCTTCTACTCTGACTCTGGGCCTGGCTATGTGACTTGTTTTGAAAGATGTTGGCAAATGTGACATAGTAAACACTTGAAAAGTACTTGTGCCATTGGGTTTGTCTCACTTGTTAAGGACAGTTACTGGGCTAACTTCCTGGAGGAGGAAAGACAGATGGTGCCAAGTCAAGATGTCCCAGGTCATCCTAGATCAGCCTACTGCAAGTTGCCCTCAGACATGTGAACCACCCCAGTCAGTATCAGCAAAGCTACCTAGATAACCCGCAGTTGATTGCAAACATTAGAGTAAGACCAGCTGACCCCAGCACAGATCAGCTGTACTCCAGACTCATGTTGTGTCTATTGAAGTGTTGTTGTTGCTTATTATGTAATATTAACATAGCAATGGATAACAGACACATCTTTACAGACTTCCCCGACCATCCCAAGGAAAGGTGACCACTCATCAGAGCAACCTCTGAATCCTGTGTCTTCTTCTATTACAAAACACACTTTACTACTATAAACATTTGATGAATGAATAAGTTTGGATATCCTTTTAAGAACAATCTTCTTGGGAACAGGAACATCTTTGTGATAGAGGTGAGGTTAGAAGAGTTTGGTCATATCTGGGTCGGACTCATGGCTCAGCAAGTGGCAAACTTTTTTTTTTTTTTTGAGGTGGAGTCTCACTCTGTCATGCAGGTTGGAGTGCAGTGGCACACTCATGGCCATCCCAGCATCAATCTGCTGGGTGCTGGTGATCCTTCCACCTCAGCCTTCCCAGCAACCAGAACTACAGGCACATGCTACCATGCCTGGCTAATTTCTGATTTATTGTAGAGATGAGGTCTCGCCAAGTTGCCTGGGCTGGTCTCGAACCTGCAGGCTCAGGCAATCCACTCACCTCGGTCTCCCAAAGTGCTGAGATGACAGGCTGAGACACCGAGCCCAGTCTGGCAAACTTTCTGAACCCTAGTGTCTTGAGCTGGAAAATGTACACAACAGCAACTGTGTAGCCCTCTTGAGGCAACCCAATGAGGAAGTCTGTACAAAGTAGCCAGCTCAGTGCCCAACACAACAAAGGACTCTATAGTTATTATTTGGTTGAGTGACTTAATGAACTGCCGCCTCCATGGCAGAATTTTTAGAAAGAGTGCACCAAAAATAAAACATCCTTTATCCCATTACCAACTCCTCCCATCACCCCAGCCGCCCAGAGCATTCTTTAGCCTCTAATGCAATTTATGACTATGGAAGCTGATGTTTCAATTTACTAAACCCAACTGTGTAATTAAAAAAAATACCTTGGAGGACCATCTTTGCAACTTAACATCAGCACAGTAGTTAAATGCAGTTTTATTTAATCTTTCCTTTAAAACAAAAGTTGCAGTTTGCTGCCTATAAATCTGCTCTTCCGTGCAACCCATCTGAGAAATACAAGCACTTGGCTTGTGCTAACTACCTGCTCTTGGGCAGGCTAAGTGACCCTGCCGATGGGTCATGTTCCTGCACAATTAAGGAACGTGTACTCACCTCCCTGGAGGTGGGAAGCCATCTTCTACAGCCACTGCAAGAGCAAGAGACAGAATGAAAAGAGGCATTGGCAGTAGACTGGTTCAAGTGAATGTTGCTCACATGATGCCCTGATGCCAGAGATGAAGTGTGGAATGGAATCTCACCTGTGCCCCAGACATTCCCCACCCCACCCCAGCACCCAGGGGTCTGCCGTCCCTGCACTGCAGCACTGACCCACACTTTATGGTTCTTATTTATGGGCACAATCTTTCGCGTTAGACTTTGACCCCCTTGAAGACCTGTGGGATTTTTCTCTTAACCTCTTGTTTCCATCCCAGGACTTGACACAGAGTTTAGCTACTCAATGTCTCTTTGAAATAACTTTGAACCACTTATTAAGCTCTGACTATTGTGCCAAGTGCTGTTTGAGCTCTTGGCAGGCATCATATCTCATTAACCTCACAATAATCCTATGAGATCAGTAGTGACATTATCCCCATTTTACAGATAAGGAAAATGAAGCTTATTGAGTAGCATGCCCAAACGTAAATGGCTAGGTGCAGAGGTCCTCAAACTTTTAAAACAGGGGTCCAGTTCACTGTCCCTCAGACTGTTGGAGGGGCGGACTATAGTTTTTTAAAAAAACTGTGAGCAAATTTCTTTTTTTTTTAAAACTATAGTCCGCCCCTCCAACGGTCTGAGGGACAGTGAACTGGTCCCCTGTTTTAAAAGTCTGAGGACTCCTGGTAGTGAGTGGGGAATTGTGATCTACAAAATGTATTTTATTATAAAAGACTTAGTACTTTGCTCCATGCTGTCTGACAAAACTTCTTTCCTTTCAGAGAGATTATTTGAATCATTTAATGTTTATAAAAATAACACTTAGCCTTTTTTTTTTTTTAACTTGGAGCTGACCATATTAGTAAAGTAGACTTATAAGAGTCCTATCTTCCTACATGAAACTTATTTTAGGATAAGACTTAAGATGACCCTCAACAGTGGTTTTCAAACTGTGGTCCCTGTACTAGCAGCATTTGCATCCACCAGGAACTTGTTAAAAGGTTAAATTCTCAGACTCCAACCCAGAACAACGGAACCGGAAAGTCTGAGAATGGGGCCTTGCAATTTGTGTTTTAACACGTCCTGTTCGTGATTCAGATATATGCTCAGGTTTAAGAAACACAGAGTTATAGCAATTTCACCATGAGGTTGCCCAAAGCAGTTAAATGAACAATCAAAGACTGCATTAGCTCTCTCAGTATACCATCTGCTGGAGCTGATGGCCACAGTAAAACAAATGTTAGCACAGCACTACATTTTGTCCCAAAGTGTATGTTCACCTCATGTTTCATTAGCGCAAACATAAGCTAAGGCGTTTAAAATGTCAACAAGATCAGACTGTGGTGGGAGTGGAGAGGGAGGAGAGGCGTTTCTTTAAATAGCAGAGGGAGACAAAATAGCATAGGAAAATGGTTTCCCAGAATGCTTCATTTCCTTGAAGGGAACAAAGGCAGTAGAGGAGGGAGGGCTTCAATTAATTACCACAGGTAGATCACAGAAGACTGAGAGGACTCCCATAAGGACCTCAGGTCAAGTTCACACTGACTTCCCCCCTTTCCACTCCCTCCCTATTTCTCTTGCACTGACTGATTGTGTTGCCAACACAGGTTTTGCAGGAAACACAAAGGTTCACTGCCTCTTTACTCAGCGACTTTTTATTTTCTTCCTCTTGGACAGATTCCCAGTGATCAAATGCAATTTACTCAGGGGAAGTGGGCTGGCCCAGGAGTGATAAGGGGCCAATTCCCACAGATTTATCATTTCACAGGCAAGCTGCCACAGCCTTTCCATGAGAATAAGCAGTGATGGATGTCCAGTCCCATGGAAAAGCAGCAGCAGCATCGTCACCTGGGAGTCGATGCAGAGAGGGAGTTGAGCTGTGACTCCTAGTTGGCCATGTGTGGGGCCCTGTGCATTTCCTTACCTTCCCTTTGGGTCTTGGGAATGGTGGCTGGCTGCCTCTGGAAGGCCTGGAGATTCACGATGGGGGGCTTTGCAGGCTTAAAGGGAGGAGGACCCAGGGTGTCCAGGGAAGGCAGTGGCTTCGTTTGGGGAGGGTGGTGATGCCTGACATCTGGCTGTTTTTCTGAGCACAGACAGTAAAAAAACAAAAAACATGTAGGCTATTATTGCTCCCATTTCATGACTTGGGTGAAACTGGCTAGTTTTCTTGCCTCCGTCTCAGTTTCCTTCAATCCATTCTCCGCCCAGCAGCCAGAGTACCCTGATCAATAATAAACCCAATCAGTTGCCATACTGCTACCCCAAGGATTTCCTTATCATGAAATCAGTTATTCCTTCTGCCATTTCTGCACCACACGGTCCCTACCTGTGTTTCCAAATTCTTTTCTCATCACTCTATATATCATCCTACTTCCCTACTTCCCGACCTTAAGTCCAAACATTTTTCACTCACATCATGGGCTTCTTAATTCTCTAAATTTGATTCAGATAGCCTTACAAAGCTCTCAAATATCCAAGATTTTGTTCATGACATTCTTGGTGCTAGAATGCTGTTTCCTCTCTTGGCAAACTTCAATTCATTCTTTTAAATCTCTGCTCCAATAACATCCCTTCTAGAAAACTTTTCTTGATTTCTGGCAGAAATCAAGGCCAAAAATAGCCACTCCTTGGTTTGTGACCCTGTAGCACATTATTGATACCTCTATATCAGTATTATGGCCAAACACAAGGCCTACCTCAGAGGAGATGGGAGGATTCTTCAAGCACTTATGACATGCAGATAACATGAGGGCTATAGAGAACAGTAAGAATTTATCCCTCAGTGCCATACCCGAGGACTGGCTTCAAGGCTGACTTTGTGATATCTGGATTCCTGTGAATTTTGTGTCCTGAATTTTCCCAGACAGTTCCAGTTTTACACATTTTTGTCCTTCTGCACTCTTAAATTCAACTCCAATAGAAATTAAAATATTACACATAAAAATAACATCAGCCTCTGATACTGAAAATAACATAAAATCTTATATAATCCATGTGCCTTGAATTTTGGTTTACAGGAGACAGTAACTGACTGCAGGAGCCATTTATGTTTAAAACTAAAGAAGTAAGCTAACATTTCTCATATACTTCTATGACACTTCCCTGTACTCTCCTCTCTAAGCTGGGAGGGAAGGAAAAGCTTCCTTTTTGCTCTGCCAATGGGCAGTTTCATCCTCAGAAACTCAGTTAGGTCCAAAGTTCCTTTCTTCTTAGACTTTAACTAACAGTCACAATATCAAAAACTTCAGTCTTCATCAAATTAGGAAGAAGACACAGTGAAAATTAATTATCACTTACTAATTGGGTTGCTAATCTTTTCCAGGCACTATGCTAAGAGGTTTGCATGGGTTATCTCATTGAACTCTCTCAACCGTTCCATGTTAGGTAATCCATCCTTTCCTTTCTCTCATCCATCCTCCTTCTCAGACATCTTTCTTCCCAACCATCTTTCCTTCCTTCATCAATGACTATTTATTTACTATAGTCCATGCATTGTCCTAGGAGCTGGAGACAAAGTTGAGAATAAAAACAGATATAGTCCTGCCTTTAGGAATTCTCATTCTAATGAGAAGAGACTGATACCACACATCTTTAAAATAAAATAAAATTTTAAAAAGAGATTGATGATAAACAAGAAAATGAATAAACAAGGTAGTTACAGAGATATATTAGTGCCATGAAGGAAATTAAGCAGAATAATAAGAAAACGTGTAAGCTGTTGATGAGGCAGTACACTTTAGATACAGAAGTCAGAGAAGGCTGATCTTGGAAAGGATCATCTAAAGTTAGACCTAAAAGCAGCCCTACGTAGGTCACAGAAAAGAGTTTTTCAGGAAGAGGGAACAGCAAGTGCAAAGGCCCTGAGACATGAAAAAGTCTGTTTAAGGAACAGCAAGAAATCTGGTGTGTTGACTGGGGGTTGATGAGCTAGAAGAAGAGAGGTGGGAGATAGGTCAGAGACGTAGTAGGGACCAGAAGTTCTGAAGGGTCATGAAGACCATGAAGTAAGTAGTTTAAATTCTGTTCTAAGAATAAAAAGCAATCATATAAGGCTGTAAGCAGGAGATCGATCCATCCATCCAACCATCCATTTAATCATTCAATAAACTATTTTTGAGGGCTTACTCAACCTGGCCTTGTTCTTCTAGGTGCTGAGGATGTGGAGGTAAAAAAGATAGTTCTTATCCTTTTATAATGTACATATTACAGAGATAAACAAACAAATGCATAGCAATACACCAGGTGGGATAAGTGATATGAAGAGATCCAAAGCAGTGTAAAAAGACAAAGCAATGGGAGTGGGGTAGCTACTTTAGCTATCAAGTCCGCTCAGAGCAGGTGACACTTGAGCAGAGACCTTGATGGAGTGAGGGAGTGAAACATCAAAGACCTGATGGAACAGTATCTTGGGCAGAAAAATTAAGAAATTAACAAGGGCAAAGACCTGACTTGGAACCAGCTTGGCATATTTAAGGACTATGAGCAAGGCAACGCAGCTAGAGAGGAGAAGGTAAGAGAAGCAGACAAGGACAAAAGTGCATGAGCCACTATAAGATGGTTGGAGTTGACTTTGAGCAGGAGAGTGATGTGATCTGATGCAAGCTTTAGAGAATCACTTTGTCTGTTGGGAGGAGAACATAATATAAGGGGGCATGGATCTGGAAATGGGGAGACCTGTTGGGCTATTGCATCATTCAGGTAGAGATGATGATGGTGTGGACAAGGGAAGAGATGGACAGAAGTGGGGTGATTCAGACCATCTTTGGTGGTAGAACCAAGAGCTTGCTGAGGAATTCAACACAAAGAATGGGGGGGGGGGTGCAGATAGGGCTTGGCTCTTAGGTTTTTGGCTTTAAAAACTAGAAGGATAGGTGCTGTTTACCAAGATAAATAATATTGGCAATTGATCTGATTTATAGGAGAGCAGATCAAGCTATGAGAAATAATGTAGACTGTTCAAATTCATGTAACTTGTAAGAAGTAGAACTAGTATTCAAAACCACGTTTGCCCAAATTGTCTTGCAATGTAATTCCAGGAGATTAAAGCACTTTACCCAAACCCAAGATTACAGTTTAGCAGATGGGCCTAGAATGTTCACAGTGGAATCTAGAACATTGTACAGGTCACAGATAAGACCACCCCCCCAAGTCAACAGGCTTTAAATTAGAAAAGCACAATGACACCTCCCCTCAGACTTTCCTACAGTTCTGTGGGGATCACATTTCTTACCTGGGACCTGGCTAGGAAGCTCACACTCATAGAGAGGCTGGCAGGTACTGCCTGCTGGGCTCCTCTCAGTACTGGGGTTTTCCTGGCTCTTCCTGCCATGTTGACAATTTAGAAAAGAGGACTTTTCAGAGGCAGCAAGTACTTTTCTTTGGGCCATCAAATACCTCTGGGAAGAAAGGGTCTGGGCTCCTTTTGTTTCCAGCATTTTCCTTGGCTCCTCTGAAGTTAGCCCTGTATCTTTTTGCCCTTCCAGATGAAGGGTCTTTCTTCCACAAATGGCAAGGGGAAGGGCTGATGACATTTCACTTTTCTGAGATGAAACCTTCTCCCAGTTCCAGAGCTTGTTTCTGAAGCTGCTGGCCACCATTACTTTCTCCTTATTGGTTATCTCAGCTTTTGATCGAGTACCATCTAACAGCAGAGAAGCCTTCTGTGAATATACTGTAGAACACACAACAGACTTTCCCAGAGGCCCCAGGGAAGTAGAAGTTTCCTGAATTTCACTCCTTTGGGCCAACTTCATTTTCTGGAGTTTAAGAGGCTGGGATTTACCACTGGAACAATGTTGTGGGGGCTGCTTGTGGCTGGATGAGAGAGGTTTCCCACTGGCCAAAATCTGGGTTGATGGTGTACTTCCAATATCACCCTTCTGGGAAATACCTGCCGACAATTTAACAGGTCCTGGAAGAGGTGAAGCATCAAGATTTTGAAATTTGATTCGAAGTTCCTTGAAGTTTCTTACCCCTTCCTAAAGCATAAAGGGAAACACAAATATTTCATTATTCAAAAAAAGAAGAAAAAGCCAGCATAATTAGCTGACTTCACTGTGCATGTCTATCTGATGATGCAACGTAATTGCTTATATATTGTACAACATTAATATTAGCCAGTAATGCCCCTGTCTACATAGATGGAATGAAAACAATTGTCTCCTCTTTGAAACACTTCAGGTGTGTTTAATTTTCTCACTGCATATAAAGAACACATAGATAATACTCAAAATTATTAACAAACCGCTTGATGTAAACTTTTGATGGCTCTCCATTGCCTATAAAATTAAGTTTCAAACTGCTTTGCATAGCATTCAAGTTTCTTCATAATGTGATCTCAACTTGTTCAAAATATGGTGAAACTTTGATCACCAACCACAACCCAGCTACACTTAAACCAAATAGGACCGCTTACAATAATTCCTAGAAACCTTGTACTCGCCACCACTCTGAGCTTGCTTTGTGTTCTTGTTTCACAAAATGTGTCACCATTGACTTGTCAGTGGTCTTTCTTACTTCAATGCCCACCTCTTCATCAAGAGTATAGACAACAAGCATAGCTAACATCTTCCCTGTCTCTTTGGTGCTTCCTTAGCTCCTTGTATTTTGGCTGTTTGTATTTGGCTCCCACTATGGAGGGGAAAAAAGAACAAATTTTGGAACTCTGCCTGTGTTTAAATTCATATGAACATTCTTTGAGAAAGTTGATCTTCCCTCTAAGTGCATCATAAAAATAAGTTGTCAAGTGGTAGAGGGTTGTGGCTACTGTATGTACTAAAGTGTCCAGGACAATGCCTGACACTTAGTCTGCCTATGATAAATAAAAACTCTATTTTTAAACATATTTCTTAGTTTAAAATTGTGGGGTACAGTTAAGGGTTAGGTATACAAATATGCATTGTGCAGGTACCCATGTTGATGAGGTGTGTCCCCTGTCCCCAGACAGATATTGACTACTGGTAATCCCACCTCCCTTCCCCTCCTTGCTCCCCCCATAGTTTCCCACCACTGTCAATCCTTTTCTTATAGTATTATGATAGTTGCTCAAGGTCCACTTATGAGTGA